GGTCGACAAGTCCATAGGCAAAAACAATCTCTCTGAATCAATCCTCATCAGGGTGATACAACTTAGATATCTTCTGCGCGTGGTTCACACACTTTAGTGGCCTCCGTTCATGTAAAGATAAATAATTAATATCAATTTTAACATATTAGTGCGTAAATCATTAAAATGGAAAGTGTAACAAAAATTAATATACTTGTCCCTCCGAAACATATCGAGCGACATGATCGGTGTAATATATCAAGAGGGAGGTGTCAGACGGCCCTCCTGCAAAACTCAAGTTAGCCTCCTCCTCGACTTTCGGAACATCAACCATTTCGGGTTCCGAAACCTGAACCCGCTCGGGTTCCTCCTCCTCGTAATCCCTAGACGAGGATACACGTGAAAGGCGACTCCTCAGAGCAGAAATCGATGTTCCTTCCACTTCCTCCCGCGGTACCCGACCACATCCTTGACGCCTCGTAGTCTGTTCACCTCTCTCTCTCTCTCTCTCTCTCTCTCTCTCTCTCTCTCTCTCTCTCTCTCTCTCTCTCTCTCTCTCTCTCGTCGAGCGGATACAATTTGGCTAGGTCTACTAAGTCTCAATATGTTGGAGTTCTCTTCCATTTTTCTAGAAAAACAAATAATCGTTAATCAAATCAAAGGTAAGCAGACAAACAAGAACATGTTTGAAAATGAAAAAAAAGTAAACCCATGCCATTTTTCGGAGATGCATCTCCGAAACTCCTCAGAGGGGTTTTCGGAGATGTATCTCTAAAAAAACCTGTGACTTCCATAACCCAATCTTCAACCTAACAACACCATTTTTACACCAAAATCTAGTTTTAACACATAAAAGCAAACTTTTTTTTTACATGTTATACATAATGTAAACAACTTAAAATAGAAATGCAAAGATTAAAAGGAATTGGAGAACTTACTCAAATTTGAAGCTTTTAGAGTTGTTGAAATGTGTTGAAGTTGAGAGTTGGAGTGAGTTGTAACAAGTGCAGACAAACTTGAATGAGTTTTGAAAGTAGAGATTTTGGAGGTTTTTGGGGTGTTTGATAGTTAGAATTCGAAAGAAATGAGAATGACAGACGGTTGTTTGTATTTGTTACTGTAATACCCTAATTCGAAGATGTATCTCTGAAACACCCCTGATTTTGAAAAAAAAGTGTTTCGGAAATACATCTCCGAAATTACCCCAGAAAAAATAAAATGTGGTGCGTTCGGAGATACATCTCCAAATTCTGAGGGTAAAAATAGAATTTCGTTAGAGGTGGCTAAGAATGTGTAAAAGACAATTTTTCATCCCACCGTTATACATTCTTTCAAGTTCTGCACGAAATTTCTGAAATGCCTCATATTTTTAGAGATGCATCTTTAGATGCACCAAAAATTATTTCTCTCAATAAAATTCGGAGATATATTTCCGAAGTCTTAAATTGATGTGTTCGGAGCAAGACATGCTTCTAGAACTCATGCAATATGAATGGAAATATGACAACATAATAAAAAACATATCAACACCAACATCAATATTTTATTAAATAAAATCATTTATTACATAGATAGCCACAAAAATAAATTCAACATTACATAACCATTTCATTGGGACATTGCAACATAATGATTATATTCTCAATGGATCTTTGAATCTTCGAATCCACTTCAATCAGACCCTTTGATTCATAATAGAGAAAAATACTCCACATAACCTTTAGATCTTCATTTGTCTTCAATTTAAGATTGGTGAAATGGACCTTTCCTTCGCTGTCAAATGAGGGTGATCGATACTCGAGCTTGACAATCTGCGATTTTCTAGAAAGCACAACAAAGTATTCAGTTTGGATATCAAATATGCGAGGAATGTTTCCTCTGTGACCCTAAACAAAAGCGGATATGAACCCATTGAAATACATTAATGCAAGATGGGGATATGAACTCATTCTCTCTGGTTTTAGTGTGTTGGTGCAGCAAATAAGGATTGAGACACACCTTATTTATACAAGTATTAGGTCACTTTGGATCTCAAAATTCTTATCATGTATCAAGTAAAATTTTGGAATGGCATATCTGAATAAATCACATATTTTATTACAAAAATGGTGACTTCAGAGTTACATATCTGAATAAACCACACTTTTCATAACAAAAAGGGTGACTTCGGAGTCACATATCCGAATAAACCACACCTTTTATTACAAAAATGGTGATTTCGGATTTGCATATTCGAAAACTTACCTGAACCAGAAAAAAATCAAAAACTTTGCAAACAAGCACATGTAATGTAAACCAAAACTATACCATAAAATTAATATGTATTAAACCGTAGCAAACTTAATACATATAAAAAGTGTATCAATTACAATCTAAAATGCATCAAAAGATTCATTACCACATAAATCTATAGCAGGTTCCGCCTTCAATGCTTCTTTATTTGATTCTCTATCATACTCCATCAATTTGGTGAACTTTATCATCCTCTCCATCAATTGATCCGACCAAGTTTCCGCCTCAATTGTTGAATGTGTCGTCCACTCCATCGATGTAGGCCCTTTGAAAGAAACCTAATGCACATGATGCACCCAGTTGGGTTTTTAGGTGGGGCACTATATAATGGAAAAAATGTCTCAGAGAACCCATATCTTGTTAGATCGATATGCACTCTGTCACATGCACTTACTATAAGGTGACCAATTTCAGGGAAGCACATCCATTTTGAAAAAGGTGTTTTACTTCTACGGTAAAGAACAAGTGCATTTTGAATTGAATCAAATTTTTGTTGGACCCTGTCGCACCGCGATAAAATGAAGAGTTGCCACCAGATTTTATTTATAGGAAGGGAAAATATTTAGAAAACTCCAAAAGGAAGGATAAGTTGGTCTTGCGACCAAGAGAAAGGGTACAAACTTTGATTAAGTGAGGGGAAGGTATTAGTACCCTTCGCGTCCGTGGTACTCCACGAGATCCACTCTTGTTGTTCTAATCAAAGAGTGTGTTATTTCTAATGCTTACTTGCTAAGGAAATGTATGAATGCAAAAGAAAAATACAGGGAAAATAAAGGTTTTAAATAGTTGTGCTCGCTTAGGCCCTACAACCTAATGCATACGTATCCCTTTTAAGGAATTAGAGTGCCATAAAAATTTTAGTTTGTTGTGTGTTTTTTATAGGTGACGAACCATTTTGAAAGGTTTTGAGTTATGCCCTCAAGGAAAAGTGCCACGTTTGATTTATTTGTGTTTTCGTTAGGAGAATATCTCATATGGTCCTCCAAGACCGGGGGTATCCGAGTACTTCCCCTTTATTTATGAAAGTGTTTGAGATACGTACAATACTAAAGTCTATGACATGACAAACTTTTAGATGGTCGATTCAGACGCCTCATATCCAAAGTACCCTGCACGTGCTTAAGACTCGTGACGTATTTGTACGTATCATCATTTATTAAGTATTTTTGAGTTTTTGATGAAGAAAAATGTTTTAGTTTTAATGCAATGCAAAAGAAATAGAAAGTGACTAAGGGAAACTAATCCTAATGTTGTCATGTATCATGGTCCTAAAGTTGAGATAAAAAGAATTCTACTTAATTGTTGTCATGCTTGGTTTTAAAGTCTAAGGTCTAATTAATTCAATTCAATCAAGAGATTAAAATAAAAAATCCGAAGACAACATGATATCACAAGCAAACAATAAACTAAAAATACAAGAAATGTTAACTAATATTTTTGGCATTTGGAAAAAATTAAACAATTCTAAACTATTAACAAAATCAATCCAAAAAAGAAAGTGCACTAAAATAAACTATGGGGTGCAAGCAGTAATAGGAGATATGCGCCAGGCCCAATCCATAAATGGTCCAATAAGAGAATTTTTTGTTCAAAGTTCAGATTGCCAAAAACAGTAGCAATGGGCTCCTGCTAGTAGGGGTATATGTAGGTATGACAACGGGGCGGGTTGGGGACGGTTTTTACCTCCCCCAAACTCAAACCTGAATCCCCAAACAATCCCCGTTCCCCGCCCCAAAGCCAAACGGGGATGGAGAATTAAAACCCAAACCCGTTCCAACGGGTTCGGGTTGGGTTCGGGTATCCCCGCCCCGCCATCATTCATTTAGTAAAATCAATTTTTTTAATAGAAATATTTATTTTTTTCAAAATCAAATTACATTATAAAGTAATAAATTAAAACAATCTCAAATAATTCCATACATACATTTCAAATATTTCAAATGATAAATATAAATCAAATTGTCAAAACATTGGCCACATATTTAATATTCTAAATTATAAAAACAAATATTGATGTACCTAATGAAATAAACGAGCGGGTTCGGGGACGTGTTCGGGGTGAGTACTAGTGTCTCCATTACCTGACCCGTCCCTATATTTTATAATCAGGGAAAACCCAAACCCGAATTCAAACTCAGTCAAAGCGAGTTTTCCCCGTCAACTTCGGGGCGGGTTCGGATGGGTACCCACGAGTATGAGTTTTGTTGCCATGCCTAGGTATATGGGCTCAAAATAGTGGTGACTAAACGCGACCGTTTTGGCTATGACCCTTCCCCTCCAATCTACTCAATTTCTTCTCTCGTTTCTCTTTCTTCCTCGCGGTTCCCAGCGAGCAAACACCGCAATCACCACCACCACAATTCCTTAACCGCTACCTCATAAACATAAACCCTACCTGAATTCACGTTCTGATTACGAAATCGGAGTTAGATTTTGCAACAGATTTTCTATGTTGAGGGATCGAAAAATTCAAACGAAACCCCAAGTGTTGCATATCGAAATAATCAAGCGCAAATTCGAAAAATTGAAGCAGGTAGGGCTCTAATTAGATGAAGGCGCATGGATAGAAGTCTAGAAATGCATAAAAGAACCTGTTTAGGAGACCTAAATTTCCGGTACGGTGGTGGAGATTCCAGACCACAGTGAAACTCAAGTAACAACCTTCCTTTATCTTCTTGTCTCTTCTTCTATAATATACTCCATCTTCTTCTACTTTTGAACTTCCGTATATGCCTCGCGTATGGAATTCTTGTCGAAATCGTTATCGTCGCGTTGTTCTTGAGAAATTGTGTGAGTGCTCTGTTGTTGTTGAGAGTCGAACAAAGGTATAGTTGCAGAGGTATGATGGAGATTCATAAAGACAGGTGAGGAATGAGAGTGATTTGCCGCGAGAAATCTGAGAATGGATGAAGGTTGTAGTTCGAAAGTGTGAATGAAGATGGTGGCGGTTCAAGGAGTGTGTATTGGAGTATGCGGGGTGAGGTTTGCAAAAGTAGGAGAAGGTTGCAATGAATGGTTGAAGATGAGAGAGTGTGAGGATTTTGAGAAGATGGAAGTTGGAGAAGAATATGAGAATGGAAGAGTATGAGAGTTGAATGTGAAACTGGAAAAAGAAAAAAAAGAAATTCCCCCGTGTGAATATGGTGAAGGTACCATTACATAGATTGTTGAATGTTGTGAATTTAGTTGAGAGTGGAGAGAAAGTTTGTTAGAAGTTTTCAATTCTCTTAAATTCAGTTAAGAGTAGTTATGAGGTTTTTTTTTTGAAAATTAGTTATTCCTGAGCTGGAGTTAGTTATAGGTGTGAGAAAGTTACAGTTAGTTTGAGATTTTCGGTTAGAGAAGTTGGTTATGTGGAATTCTATTTTGAGAGTTAGTTACAACACTGTTAGTGATTGAGCTTCCAGTCAGTTAGAAATGGTTTTGTGAGGTAGTTATTGGTTTAAAAAACTGTTAATGTTAGTTAGGATGGATACTGTAATGAGTAGCTAATGGTAGAAATTGGCTAGTTGAATTTGTGTTGGTAGTTAAGGGTTTGGTTTTGATTATGTATACTATGATATGTTCTAAGGCAATAAGAAGATGGCGTGACTGAAGATGAAGTGTATTGTTAATTGATGCAGATTTTTCTGTTAAGACAATATCGATTTGGATTTGTTTGATTATGCGGAGTGGTCACGGGTGAATACATCAAGGCTGACTGAAATGGTGGACTGGTTTATGTTCATGAAGGTCTTGTATTTGGTTGAGGTAAGTTAGTTTTTTTTTCTTCTGTTAGTGCTTAATAGTTGAGTGTGATGAAGTCAGGTTACTTGCATCTTGGAGTTGAAGTTAGGTTAGCCGAAATTTGAAAACTAGTTAGTGAATAAGATAGATGGTTGAGTTATTGTTGAAGTCAACATGGTTCAAAGATAATTTTGGTTAACGCGAGCTGGCTGGAAGTTAAGTCCGAGTTGAAGTTAATTTGGGCCGAGGTCCTCGACTCGCATCAGCTACTTAATTTGAACCAAGAACCCATTAAAATTTACTTGCATGCACATAGGGGATTCAGGGTTTTGAGGCATGATGGCTTTGAATTTTTGTGTTGGATGAGCTTGTGTGTTTGCATTGATTTCTTTTTGTACACGTCTGTTTGTATGTATTTGGTTGAAGTTACAAACATGATTGTGAAATTGTTGCAGTCTTTGCAGGGAAGCTGTTATGTTAACGTAGGGGCTGTTATGGTTTTTTTTTGTATTATTCCCGAACAGGTTAGTGAAGTGAACTTGAATGGATACATGGCTGCTGGCAGGATTTTGCTTAATAGTTATGAATTATGTGAGATGGAATTAGCTAAATTGGGGGAGGCTCGAAGGTGAGGTCACAAAGTCATGGACACCTTCTGTTTTGAAAGCTTGGGACAATTTGAAGACCCTTGGCATTAAGTCTAAAGCACCAGGCTTAGGGAAGATTTGTGGAAGTCCAAAATAGTTAACTTACACGAGGTTGTAATTTGTAATTTCCTTGTGTTGTATCATATAATCTTGTAATGACTTGTAACATTTTGCTACTCAATGAAGTTTCCTTTTCTAAATCAATGCTCTTTTCACTTTATGTCTTCACAAAATGACTTGCTGTAAAATGTAGCTTTGTGGTATCTCATGCGAACTCAACATCCAATAAAATGCTTCATGACCTTTTCTTCAAAATGAGATAAACAAGTTGAATAACCTATAAATCATATTTCCAGAAATGAAAATCTTTCTTTCTATTCCCCTTGGCACAAGATATGATGCAAACAAACAAGAAAGTTCAAGCATGACTTTGGTCAAAAAGGGTAACTTTGTGTAATTCTCTTGATGTATTTGGATTGAAATTAGTCATGTAAGTTGAAGTGACTTCTTTCCACATGCTTGTCATTTGAATTTTCAAAGTAACATAATTCATGTGGTTCCATGATTTTGAATTTGAAAAGAATTCCCTCCATTTTGTCAATTTGAATAAATCATGGATGAAAGCTAAAAAATTTGCATGAGATTCACAACCAAGACTTATATAACAAATAATGGAACACAACTTCAATTGATAATGCAAAGCCTATCTTGCCATGTATGCACTAAGCCTTTGAATGAATGAGTCTCTTTGAATGATAATCTTCACTGATGAATCAAAGCTCTATAAGAAACCCTCTTGTTTGCCACATGAATAGGTAAATAAACCTTAATTTAAGTGATGATTACAAGCACAAGAAGATACTTTTCAAGAACTCTTATGCCCAAGTTCTAATCCTTTCGAATGAAGCCTGTTGAAATGCCTTGTATTACTAGTAATGATGAAGCCATCTCATGCGATGAATAAAATCAAGTGTGGAGAAGAAACTCCTGATGATTGCATAGCCTAAAGCCACGAGGACTCATATGATAACTGTTCTGGACTGGGCCCGACCTGGCCCAAGAGCAAGAACGAAGGCCCAATCCAAGCAACTCTTCAAGGAGCGAGCGTCCGAACATTCCCGCCAGTGCGTCGACCAGAAGCTGCAGCCGTGTCCGCCGTTGCCCGCGAACATGGTATCCTCGACCACGTGAACCCCAGCTCGAGCCCAGCTCGAGCACTCTCCTCGTAGGGAAGACTCTGACCGTTACCCCATCACCTGAACTCCGGAAAGACCGCGTCCTCGTCCCTCCTCATTTCTCGCAGAGCATCACCAGGAAGGAGACCATGTGCAGGTCCCCACTACACACGTAGAACCTGGCAGTTCCTTTATTGGGCCGGTCCTGGCCGGCCCAATGAAGGGACATTGGCCCCGCGCTGGAGGCTATAAATACCCTCTGTTCCTAGAGGGTCGGGTATTCATTCTCTTACCCATACATACACTTTTTGCCTGCTCGTACCATCACTCACTTTAGCATCGGAGTGCCTTGCAGGTACCCCTCCATCTCACTCAACTTCTGCTCGGAGCCAGTCGTGACAGTCCAAGTCTGATCAGGTGAGATCAGTGACGCGGTCTGTGGGAAACTAGCTTCCCCGTCTTGCAAAACCTCGAAGACCAAAGCTCAAATCACCTTCTACCGTCATGGCTGATCAAGTTCGTGATGACCAAAACGTCCGCGTCGTCGACACCAACAACGGCCTCGCAGATAAAAATGGACTCCCCGACAACGCCGGTAACCCCGGTCATAACACGCTCCCCGGGGGCGCCAACCCCGGGCCCTCAGTCCACCGCGACGGTGTTACTGCATCATCCTCTTCAGTCCCCCCCGCCGCTCGAAGAAGACAACGCAGCTCCCACGAGCCATCGAGCTGCCCAATTTCAGGAAGTCCCTGTCCCTGCCGGGGCAGACGCCACAACCCGCGCACTATTCACGGCGATTAACCAAACGAATTACCTAATCTTCTCCCAGGGGGTAAGATTGAGGGCACTAGAGGACGATCGAAGGCCCGCGAGGAGATACAGGAGGCCACAGACTCCACCTCCCCGGGTGACAAAGGTACATCTCCCGTCTCCCCCGCGGAGACACTACAGAAACACCTCCCGAAGCCCGTCACCCTGACCCTCGGGGAGACGAACCCCTTTGGAGAGGCAACCCGTCATTGAAGTCGGGGGACGCGGCCATGCCCCCATACGTCAAGAAAGAAGACACTCTGGATACGGGCACGGAAGAATCAACCAACGAGCACCACGCTCGAGGGATGCCTAGCACGACCAGGACCGTCGGGCACGACAATATTACAGGTCCCCATCCCTGTCCCCGAAGCGAAGTGACGAGGACGACCCTCGCGGTCCCCTGTCACAAGCCATCATGGAGGCACCCATTCCCCCGGGCATGGAGAAGCCTCCACATCTGAAGGAATACGACGGAGTCGCGGACCCGGTCGACCACATAGACGAGTTCGAGGCTATGCTGCACTACCACAACATCGGGGGACCCATCAAATGCCGGTTGTTCCCCACGACCCTCAGAAAGGCAGCAATGGATTGGTACAAAGGCCTCGCTCCAGGATCAATCACCTCGTGGAGAAACCTAAAGAACCAATTCATAAGTTCGTTCACTGCGTCTCTGCGACACCCAAAGACCGGGGCGGCTCTCGAGGCCATCATCCAGATACAGGATTAGACCTTAAGAGAATTTATTAATCGCTTCAATCGCGAAGCCATACAGGTCCCCTGCGCGGACCACATGAAAAGATATTTGCTGGAGAGGGGGCTCCTCCCCGGTATAAAATTCAAAAAGGCAGTGGGCATCGAGCCACCTAGAACATTCGATGCCCTCCTCGAGAAGGCCCGGGCGTACATGGACTACGAGGAAAGGAAGGCGGCCAATAGAGCCCGGGACCCCAGGACTCGTGGATCCAGCAGCAACCCGCATCAGGAAGCTGCTCCTCCTCGATGAACCGGGGAGAAAAGAAATGAGGACAGACCCCGAGAAGTCCGAGAGCAAAGAGGACCCTCGGGGCGTTTTACCGAATACACTCCGCTCACAGCCTCATGCGAGCGCATTTTGGCGGAGTGTGCCAGCACAGACTTTAAAGACGACAGCGTCAAACGCCCCTGACCTGCTCCCGCCAAGCCCGGAGCAGACAAGAGCAAGTACTGTCAGTACCACGGGAGCCATGGTCATCTGGCTGAAGATTACGTCCACCTCAAGGACGCCATTGAAACCCTTATCAAGGAAGGGAGGCTCGCCCAATACCGGCGAAACGATGCTCCTCGTCGTGACGCCCGGGAGGCAAGAGAACCGGAGGAATACGCCCGACCATCTGACGAGTCGGTCCCTGTCCAGACCGCCTTCTCCGTCACCAGACCCGAGGACTTCTACGTCCCCGAGCACCTGCAGGAGCCGCTCACAACACATAGCAGGTGGGAATACTTTCCCTCCACCATGGTCATCAATGGTGGAGGATTCAACGACTTGACTATCAATTCGGCTAAAAGAAAGCTCGATGAACTGGTCGACGTGGCACCTCCGCAAACAGTGCCCTTTGAAAGGGTAAAAGGTAGGTCGGAGCCTATCACCTTTTACCTGGAAGAGCTCCCCGGAGGAGCCCCCAACGCAGTCATTCCCCTGCTGATAAGAGCAAGAATGGCTAACTTTGATGTGCACCGCATCCTCGTCGATGAAGGAAGTTCCGTCGACGTGATGTACAGTCAATTATTCCGGACTCTGCAGCTGGACGACTCGCATCTCTCGCCATATGTAGGTTCAGACTTACAGGGCTTCAACGGCTCGACCTCCAAGCATTGGGGATATGTAGAGCTCATGGTTACCTTCAGCGAGGGCACGGTGACAAGGCAGGTTAAGGTACGCTTCCTCGTCATCGACTGCCCGTCCCTATACAACTGCATCCTGGGGAGACCAACACTGGCAGAACTGACAGCGGTACCCTCCACCGTCCACTTGAAGATGAAGTTCTACACCAAGAGGGCACGGGTAGCTACCATCCAGGGGGACCTAGCCGCCGCTCGAAGGTGTTTCAACGCTGCATCGAAGGGACGCGACACTGTCGACACCAGGACAAGGCCCGCCAAGAGACCGGCGATGACACGACAGGAGCTCGACAAAATAGAGCCCACCAAAGAGGAAGACCAGAGAGCTCCCCCAAAGGTCGACTCTATAGCTCTGGATACTCGTTTCGATCAGGACGAACCTCCCAACGGTGAGCAAATTCCCCTCTGACCAATCCCAGACGGGGACTTTGAGCTCGTCCCCCTCGGTGCAGACCCGAGCAAGGGAGTGAAGATTGGCATCGACCTCCTCGACCTGGCGAGGAAACAGATCAAAGCCTGCTTGCGCGAGAATGCTGACCTGTTCGCCTGGAGCGCCGCGGAGATGCCCGGACTCGACCCTGAGGTCGCCTGTCACCATCTCGCCATAGATCCTGCCGCTAAGGCCGTAGTACAACGTAGGCGTAGGCAGTCTCCGGAGAAAACAGAGGCTGTTGAAAAAGCTGTAAAAGACCTCCTAGAGGCGAATTTTATTTATGAAGCCCGATATTCAACCTGGCTGTCAAATGTTGTACTAGTTAAAAAGAATAATGGAAAATGGAGGATGTGTGTTGACTATACCGATCTCAACCAGGCTTGCCCGAAAGATGCTTTCCCTTTACCGAACATAGATATGATGGTCGACAACTCGGCCGACTATAAGACATTGTCATTCATGGATGCCTACTCGGGCTATAACCAAATCCCAATGGCCATAGGCGACAAACATTGCACGGCCTTCATGACCAGCTCGGGAAATTATTACTACAACGTAGTGCCCTTTGGACTAAAAAACGCAGGGGCAACTTACCAACGTATGATGAACAGGGTGTTCCACAAGCAGATCGGAGACATGCTCGAGGTCTACATGGACGACATGATCGTCAAATCCCGAGC